GTTAGACTTTGAAAGCTAATGCCCTGTTATCCCAAATAAACAAAACATAATGTTCTTTTGACCTTCAGCATTTCCCACATAATCTATAAGTACCCACGCTGTCTGCTATATGCTGGTGAGGCACTGATATATTCTTCCAATGTTTCCCAAAGCCTTTTTATTTTATTTTTTAAAAAATCTATTATCTTCTAAGCACAGACTGCAGAAATTGATTCTACTCGTTTCCAGCTTTCTTTACAATACATAACAAATTTGACATAGACTTACTGGTTATGTTTAAGATCAATAAAAATGTAGATTATGATGAATTTTAATGCACTGCTGACTTTTAAAATCTTTTTGAAGCTTCCCTATTAGTGTTTTGTAAAATATTGTGGTATGTCTGGCCGTAAATACATTTGATCCAAATATACTGGAGTTAAGGAAGGAGAAGGAGTTGTCAAATCTACTTTTACTTTTGATAAAAGGTGCTTTTCAAAAATACTCAGCATATTTAGATAGTCATATTTATGAGACAAGTGCCATAGAAAACGAGGAAATCCTTAGTAAGTCACATAAATACATTACATATTGTGTGCTTTTAAGCTGTATTTACACATATTTGGTTTATGCATTTCTGGTGGTTATTATTTCTTGATATATTGTTTATTGCTGTACTTTAGCACCAGATTCCCACTAGTGCCAAGCTGAACTGGCAGAATTCTCAACAACAGCAGATGTGATGGTTATGGGCAAAAAAAAGTGAGACTGGAGTCTGGTCAATACGAGTTTTAGCGAGCATAGCATCCTAAGTTGAGCTCCCAGGGGAAGGCAGTTGAAGAGCCACAGGGGGCCATGAGCTGGAGTTTAGAAAGTGACAGTTTCTCCATTCATCCCAGAATCTCCCTCTTCCAGGACTATGCAAAGCCAGCAAATGTTGGTTCATAACTTGGGGAGAGAGGGAATTAGGTAGCAAAATGTGGTCTGGCTAAATGCAGCTTGTGTTTCCCTTCAGCTCTCATGGTCATAACAGTTGCCTTGCCTGAGCAAACCAAGACCTGCCTGGCCCAACTTTCTCCTTCTGACAATAACCCATCAAGTAGCCACGTGATTGCTTTCTGAGTAGAGCGAGTTCAATATGTTCCCAAGTAGTAACGGAGCAGCTGCAGGTTCTACAGTGGTACCTCGGGTTAAGTACTTAATTCATTCCAGAGGTCCATTCTTAACCTGAAACTGTTCTTAACCTAAAGCACCACTTTAGCTAATGGGGCCTCTTGCTGCCGCTGCGTCGCCGGAGCATGTTTTCTGTTCTCATCCTGAAGCAAAGTTCTTAACCCGAGGTACTATTTCTGGGTTAGCTTAGTCTGTAACCTGAAGTGTATGTAACCTGAAGCGTATGTAACCCGAGGTACCACTGTACTCTTAAATGCACTAAATTCATGGATTAACTTCTACAGCACATTATGGATAGCCCACAGTGCTGATATCAATATCCAACAATACTAATATTGTTTAAAGTGAATGCAAAAAAGTAAGGACACCATTTTTTAAATTCCAGAGAACCATGAGAGCCCTATTGAATTCATGTATTTTTTTAAAGAAAGAAAATGTAGTTTATTAGCAGTTGTTCCAGTCACGTGTATAAGGCAAGCAGATGGATGGGGGGGGGGATTTTGCTTCATAGGAATTCCACCTGAAAGTACAGCGAAATACTGCTTCATCAGCTATGCAGGCATTTAAACTGAGCTGTCAACCACATTTCTAATCTATGAATTTGTTTCATTAAAGTATCTGGTACAATTAATCATTTTGATGGGCAATATGTGGCAACAAAGAGTAGCTTTTTCAGACATTGAGATTCTTTTATTATTCCAGCAGCTGTACCTCTATGGAATAAGAGTGCTCTGCTGCCGAGTCTGTCTTTGGATGGCGGTTCTGTCTTTACATATAGCCGTTTTATAGTTTTGACTACATCCCACCATCACAATATATGCAGATAATATGCTAATTTATCTTTATGGCAGCTCTCAAGGGTCATTACCAAGGCGTAGTAAAATATACTGAGGACATTAATAATGATCGTAATAAAACTGGCTTTGGAAAGCATTAAGAACAACATAATGATGCTTGCAGAGCTGCAAATATCTTGGTGAAAGGATGAATGTGCATTAAATGGACTTTCATTTTGGTAGCATTCATTTTGATTCAGATGAGTGTATAAAACAAGTTAATTTACCATTTGCCAAGAACCGGTTAAAGATTTAATCATGGAAAGTGCATTTACTTTGAATGTGCTATTACTGCCAAACTTGCACCTTTGCAAATTGGATTGCTTTTTGCTGGAAGGTGCTTGCAGATTAAGAAATGGAAGGGCTACTGACCCAGCTGCTATGAGATCTGATTACTAGAGTTTAAAAGCAGGGGGTGAGTTTGTATATAGAAAATGGTATTTTAAAAAAGATGCATATTTATTTATTTTAAAAAACACAAGTCAGAAGATGCCGAGCCAACTTCATCAGCAACATGCTTGAACGCTGTATATTCTATGGATGGAATAGTTCTCCATAAAATTTGAGTCTCAATTTCAACCTCCTAGAGGCAGGTTGTTGTTGTATTTCTATTTCTATACTACCCTTGACCCAAAGATCACAGATTGGTTCACAATATAAAAATAACAAAGAAGAACAATAACCCTCCCTAAGACTTGTGGCTGGGCCCAAGAAGAAAAGCACAACCAATAATGTTTTCAATGAGCCTGGAAGCCTCTGTACCTGAGGAGCACACACATGCTTCCTCTCATTCATTCATTATTGAATTTCTATACCGCCCTTCATCCAAAGATCACAGGGCGGTTCACAAAGTAACAATATAAAATGAGAATACAAAAAACATAATAAAACAAAAACCAACAACCCCACAAACATATTGCTTTTGCTTTATTTATGCTTACACACCAACAAGATACACAAAAAGAAATAGGCATCATCTCCAAAAGGCCAATTTTTAAAAATTGTTTCTGGTTTCTTCCTCACACGGTAAGGGTGAGTCAGCAGTCAGCCTTTTGTCCCCACCATTTTCACTTCTCTTCAATCCTTTCTCCCTCCTTCCTCGTTGTGCTGGTCCCGTGGGTTACCCGAGAGGCGAGGTCCAAGTCCGGTCCGTGGACAAAGGTGCAACGTGGAGGCAGTCCGTAGTAGCTGAAGCTGGGTGCAGGGCAGGGAGTCGGGTGAAGTCAGGAACAGGCTTGCAAGCAGGGAGCCAGGGCGGGTCAGGAGCTCAGGCAGGAAAGCAGGACAGGGTTCAGGCAGGAACTAGCAACCAACAATGTTGCACCCACAACTTGGGACTGGGGCCGGCCGGCTTTTATCTGCCCCGAGGCATAGGGTGGCCCTGATCCTCTGGTGACTTGCCTCTCCTGGTCTGGAGGCAAGCACTCCTCCTGCAGGAACTTAGTTCCCTTTGTCTCTCTGCCCTGGAGCCTCTGCAGCTCAGGAGAGGCTGGAGGGTTACCTTGATCTCATTGGCCCTCGTTCTTCCCTTACTCCCTTTTAACTCTTCCAAGGAGCGCCTTCCCTTGACCCATCATGCCGGACGCTCATTCCAGATCTTCTACAATTATGTCTTCTTCAGGTGCTGGCCTAATACGTGCCCGGTTTCGGGCTACTGCCTTCTCGAGCTCTGGAAAGCTCTTGAAAAGCTTTGTCACAAGTGGTGCCACAGGAGGCTGCTCCTTGTGCTGGAGCGGGGCCACCTTGTTGCTCTTTTTGAGCTGCATTGCACTTCTCAGTCGTCTGAGCCACTCTGTTCCACGAAGGAAAAGTCCACTGAACCTTCCTTCTTCTTCCTGAAGGTCTGGAACAGACCGCATGGTTGATGCTGGCTCCACCTCCTCTTTAAGCAGTCAAAATCAGAAGAAAATCCAAATCCTCTGCTTTCTCTCTTACCACCAACTGCACCTACACACCTCGCTCTGTCTCTCCTCTCTAACCCACAATGGACCCCTGTAGTTGGTGGCTTTTAAGGGAGAAGCAGGAGATGTCACAAAGGAGGGTAGGCCATTGTTACCATGGCAACCCACCCACCTTCCTGCTAATATGTTAGACAAAGTGACAGAATGGAATGTAGATCTATCAGCACAGGAGCAGCCAATCAAAGTTACTGGAGGATGGTCACATGAGCGTTTTAGATAAGGCAGAGACCCCATCACCCCCTGCCAACATGCCTAGTGGTCAGGGATGGTGGGAATTGTAGTCCAGCAATATCTGGAGGCCTGCAGGTTCCACTCCCTTGCTGTGCAGGTTAGGCCACTTGCCAGTTTTCCAAACACCAAGCCAAAAACAGACTACTTTTCACAGCCTTTTCTTTTTGAATGCGTGTCTGTAATATTAACCAAGTGAAATGTTAGTCCGCAGCCCCAGTTCTGAGGAATGTGACCCACATGCTTGGAAGCTTCTTGATTGATTGATTGATTGATTGATTGAATTTATTTACTGCCCTATACACGGAAGTTTCAGGACAGTTCACACAACAAAATCAAAATATAAAACCACAAAATATATAATCAAAATAAAAACCCACCCAGAAATCTGCTTCTGGTTCTTAGTAATACCAGTACTTTTGATATGATTTTAAATGAGGGTGGGCAACTTTCTGGCTTGTTGGATCTGGGATATAGAGATCTATCTATCTATCAGCTATAAGTACAACTAGTATATAGGATTGCAGCCAGTATACATACTGGGGAAGAATACAAACCAGGCAGCCAGAAACATAATTAACTTAAACAAGAGGAAGCAAAAGAAGCTCAAGGATACTAATCAAACCTCCCATTTTTGAACACCACTTTGTCCTTCCTTGCCAGCCTTTCTAACCAGGCAAGGTATCCCTGGGGGAAAGGTTGGCCTTACAAGTTTTTCTTTGACTCGGAGTAATTATGCTTAGGCAGTGATGACATGGAGACGTTTTGTTGATGAAACTTCATTTAATTTTATACTGACTGCCCTTTTAATATTTTGTTCTAGATACAACCCTATTTTTCCCATCGTTCGCCGTGAATTCATATTTGGAACTACCTTCTCTAACATCTCTGTCTAAGGACAGACATGCATTAGGACCACAGTGGAACCGAATGATGATTCACTTAACAGTGAAGACTACTGCTTTGAATGGCACCCTCCTTTACAGTGAGTAGCCTAGGGTTTTGTTTTTGCTTTTGTTGCACAAATTGCTTCATAATTATTATTTCATTTCACTCTCACAGCAACCCTGGGCAACTTTATTGAACAGGGGAGAATGAGCATGACTTAAACGAATTACTGTTTTATCTCTATTACATATATTTAAGCACTTTTTAAAAAAAGGTGATTATAAAGAGAACAGTACATTAAAAAGAGAAGACAAAGCCTTCCAGGTTGGTTAGGCTGATACGTTGACACTTTGGGTGATGTAATTATGTGAGCAGAACAACTTCCACTCGTGCACCTGTACTTTTCTCCTGTATGCCCCCTGCTTTCTCTCCAGATCAGGGGTCAGCAAACCTTTTCAGCAGGGGGCCGGTCCACGGTCCCTCAGAACTTGTGGGGGGCTGGACTATATTTTGAAAAAGAAAACGAACGAATTCCTATGCCCCACAAATAACCCAGAGATACATTTTAAATAAAAGCACACATTCTACTCATGTAAAAACACACTGAATACCGGACCGTTCGCAGGCCGGATTTAGAAGGCGATTGGGCCGGATCCGGCCCCCGGGCCTTAGTTTAGCCTACCCATGCCCCAGATCTTTCTCATAAAGTTGGGGAAATCCCTAGAATTGATTTAAGGAACACATGCAGTGAGGGGAGGAGAATGTTCCATTATGCAAGGAAAAATCCTTGTGCTGACTGACATTTACCTTAGAACTGCATTGAATACAACCCTTAATGCTGATGTATGATTTGACATTAAAGGGATGAGTCTTGGGCTGCTTCACTCCTCCTCCTTCCTTTCCCCACATGCTCCGTTTTCCTCCTGCCTTCCCTGCTTTGTGGCCCCAACGTAGCTGGTCATTGCATTCAAACCAGACAAGTTATGAGAAGGAGAAATCAGTGAAAAACACTTCTTTCTGTGTGCCCCATCCCAATCTCTCTACAAGTGGGAGAATCCTGTGACTGGATTCTTCTCTCAAAAACTCTGAATCCAAGCCTCTCTCTTTTTCCCCAAATTCTAGTTGAAAGGCAAAGAACTCTAGTTAGAGTGAAAACATCAACAAAACATTTGGGTCACTTGATTATATATGAATAAAACGTAACGTCTGCAACTGTGTAAATGAAATATAGCATATATAAACAAAAAGAGGTGATGAGGTACTAGATGTGAAGAAACAGGAAGTCTAGAAAGAAAACAAAGGAAGTTTGGGAAGCATTTCCCCCGACCCTGCATGCTTTGATTGCTACATTCCTCTCCTAATTAGGGTGGGAGGGAAAATTGATTCAGTATGCATTCAAAGCCAAATCTATCAAATTTACACTTTCCAAAACAGTATAGAGCTATACTTCAGAATTTGCCCTTACCTGAAAACTTGTGATGCAGTTCTCCAACCAATGTTTAAAAAATGCACATATTAGGAGAAAGTGTGTGTTCAAAGACTTTGATGAAAATAGCATGCAAAAATTCATTCTGTCAAGATAGAATTGCTTGCAGAAATGTGTCGCCGTCTGCCTGCCTGGCTGCCTGCGTGGCGCTGACGTCACGGGGCTGTAACGTGCCCCACATAGGCACACGTGGGGCGGCGAGCAAGCTCCCTCCCACATCCCATCGCCGCTCGCTTCGGCCGGCCTACTGGGCTGTCGCAGGCAGAAGGCCTGCGCATGCGCGAGGTTTTCGCGCCTTCGGGATTCCCTTCACGCCTTCCTCCTCCCGGGTCCTTGAGAGCGCGGGAAGCGGCAGCGCGAGACCGGCGTTGAGCCTGGTAGGTATTGCGCTTGCCAAGGCAGTCATTTGGGAAATGAAAACTTGCAAAGCAAGCAACCAGTTCAATCTGAAGTACGTGTATGCTTAATATCCTGTATCTGAAACCTGTTCTGCCCCCTCCCCCACACTTGGTGCCATTTTCATCTACACATGCAGCAGAGTAAGTTGACCCAGAATAGTACCAATTCAGATGGCAGATGGGAGAATGACAGTGCTGAATGCTTTCCCATGTAGAACAGTCCCTGCAAATAAAAACCTAGCATATTTGGAAGAGAGATGCTAGCCTAACCATTACCTTCTATGCTGTTACTATTTTTTTATTTTTTTTTTACATAAGTAAAAAGTGACCTTTCCCCATCTGGCATGGTGGTGTGCCTCGAGATTTTTTTCATGAAACAAGTGTGCCTTTGCCCAAAAAAGGTTGGGAAACACTGCATTAGTCAAAACTGCATGTAGAATTGTGTTTATTAAGAGGTATTCACACTAAATTGATTTTTGTGAGCATTTTTAAAAAAGCACAAAATGTAGAGAACTGAATTTAAGATTAGAAAAATGAGAAACTGAGAGCATTGAAACTGACAGGCCGTTCCATCCCTATTCCTGACATTTGACAGCATCATAACTTAAAATCAGCTTGCCCATGTTCACAAGTAACACCAAAAATGTGCAGTTTAAAATTTTGTATTTACTACCTGCCTTGGGCCAGTCACTAACTCTCAGCTTGACCTACTTCATATGGTTGTTGGGAAGATATACAAGGAGGTGTAAAATAGCTGCAAAATGGGGACTCCCAGGTAAATAGGGTTGTGCTGTAATCCTTTCTGCATTTATTTTGGGAGTAAGCCCCACTGAATTTAAAAGGAATTATTTCTGATTAGACTTAGTTAGGATTACACCATTAGTCCTTGTAGCATAGGCATCAAATTTAGGCCCTTCTAACCAAAGTGATGCATCTTTGTACTATAAATGGCAACGTTTGTCTGCTCCCAAATTGGTACAACTCCAAGATTTCAGCCAACCATAATCTGACTTGATTATTTTGTGTTTACTTAAGATGCTTAAATCCCAATCATGTACAGTTGAACTTACATCCAGGCTAGTGTGCACAGGGGAACAATTCCCAAAAGGAGTTCTCTTAGGCCTGTAACCCCTGAGGGTGGGGAACTGTGGAAAGCAATGTGGTCTGCTTTTATTTTTGAAATGGTTTATTTATTTGCTTAGCTGCTCAGTAAAGAAATAAAACATACTTCCTTTTTCCACTGCTCTGTTCCAATAGCAGAACCACTGAGGATTTTAAAATGTTATGGGTTTTTTAAACATTAATAATTTAAATGTGTTTAAAATATTTCATATCATAACCTTCCTTCATAACATATTTTTATAACTGTATTTAAATTCTGTTCTGCGTTGAAAGTGACCCTTTTGGCCCTTACAAGAAAGCCAAGGCTGCAATCCTATACCCATTTACTCAGGATTAAGTCCAAGGGTGAAGAGAGATAAGAGGGGAAAGTAGAACTTTAAACTAGAGATTCAAAGTGTAAGAAAATCACACTGGAGCAGGTAGGGAGTTCATTTAGTGAGAAGAGGGAATGGAAGCTACTTAAGACCCTAGGGATTCCTGCTGCCAAACCACTGACTTGTCAGTCACAGCTCTGACATTATGCCTGGCTAAAAATGCTGAAAAGCATCCAGGCCGGCTCATCTCAAGGAAATCACTTAGAAATTTACTTGCACGTTTTCCTTCATATCTTCCCTTCCATGAGGCCTAGTGACTTACTTTTTATTGAAAAAGTGAAAGCTCAAAGAGTCCAGGCTGCCTGGTGGCTGTGGGCCTGGTACCTCAGCATTTATTTATTTCTTATTTCTTTTTTTGTTTACTCGGCAAACCTGCCGACAGAGGAGAAACTGAAAAGACTAAACAAACCATAATGACACCAGTGCCTATTTGGGGGTAAATTGACTGGACCAGTGCATACAGCAGCAGGAAATGAGGCACTGCCATGCACTCATGTGAAATGACATTTACCCAGCAGTGAAATCTGATTCGTACAGTATTGGCATGGAATACCATAGTATTGTGCCACATAGTACAATTTGTGTAAACATTACTGGAGTACCACAAGACCACCATGGAGGTGGATCTAATACTTCAATTAGTCAAGGTTGAGGTATAAATAGATTGGGCAGAAAAGCTTTTGTGGTACTGTCAATCTGTGATTCGATCACTACATTCTCTGAAATGATCTAATTCCATGCAGGAGCAGCCATTCATGCCTGCTGAAAAATTACAGTGCCCAGATCAAGGGGGGCACTCTGTGAGGCACAAGAAGCTACCACCTGAAGGAGAAAATGTGTGGGCACTTTCTGCTTGTGCAGGGGAAAGATCTGGATTGCACCCCATAAAGCTCTCTTTTAATTTAGGATTTGCTTCAAATGAAATAATATTGTTTGTCCTCAAATATTTGTTCTGGACTGGGACAAATATATATATTCTTCTAGGGGGGCAGGGGGAAATAGTCACAAATGGATACAACAATGGTTTTGAAATGTGAGTAGACAGTTTAAATTCTATATAATTTCAAAATAGGAGAGTGACCGGTGGTATATATAAATATTTTAAATAAATAAAATAGTGCCAGGCCAGCAAAGAGTAAAACAAGGGAAACCTCATCATTTAATTTTGTGCCATTTCCCTCCTGGGATATAATGAATCCAGCTGGAGAAGACAGGCAACCCGCCTATAATAATTTTTCTTCCATTGGTTTCTTGATTGTAAAAAGAGCAACGAGTCTTATAGCACCTTCAAGATGAACAGGTATGCTGTAGTGTAGTAGAAGCTTTTTGCTTCTTTTGATGCAGTCTTGCAAGACTTTGTTTTTGCCATGGCAGACTAACATGGCTAGAAGTTGTTGCATGTAGACACATTCATGAGATATAAAGAAACATCAGGAATTAACAGCGGGGATGGATTCTAAATTGCTGTATTGGACAGCAGTACAGTACCACAAACTGCAGTGCCTTGTGTACAGTGACTTCCTTTGTTATTTCACTCCGCTGTGCCATATGCCTTTGGACTAGTGGGCCATCTCCCCATGGAGCCTGGACTCTCATGTGCATTGCTATCTTGTATCCAGCTGTTCCCTGTGGAGCTGTCAGCCTGCAGCCCCTAGGCAAAGCCATAACAGCTGTCGGCTCTGCAGGGATCCTGCATTTCTCAGGACGACTCCACAGCACCAGTAGAGTACTAAGAAAAGCACAGTAGAGCCAGATGGTGATTTCACAAACTGCTAAAGATTACACAAGGTGGTTTCTGAGTTTTTTCAGCAAACGCTTCCTTATAGGTGAAACATTCACGTGACACTTTCCCATTATGCACTTAGTCATGAGAATTATTGCAGGGACCATCGTGTAATTCAGAAAGCAGGTAACGTGGGAGAGTCTTCCTTGCAAATGTTCACTTGGAAATTAGGTGCTGCAAAAATCAGTAGGGCTTAAGCCAAAACACGAGCATAGGATTTCAGCCTAAGAGCATGATCTTGTACAGAGTTATTTGCTATTTATTAGCAGCATTATTTGTCTTGGCTCCTTCAGGTGAAGTCTCTGACACTCAATAGCTGAGCTGGTATGGGGGCATGGAATGTTCATTTGCAGCGGAAACCACCGGTGTTTGCAACTGCAGGCCGTATCCATGTGGGAAGGGGCAGTTGTCGGCATGGCTGGGACGAAATGCTCACACTGAGGCAGGCTGAGGTCCAGAAGTGGCCTTGAAGTCACGGGAGGTGGGGAGACTAAAGGCAGCAAGGCAGGAGAAAGGGGCAGAATGTCTTGAGATATTGTTGGACTCGGACTCCCATCCACCCCTTCCAACATGGATGGTGGGCGTTGTAGTCCAACTGCATCTGGAGGGCACCAGGTTAGCCACTCAGAGCTATGCTATGAAAAGTGAGGGAAGAAGATAGGAATGTTGCAGAGGCTGATCAAGAGACAAGACAGCCAGAGGAAGTAGGTACTAGCTCTGGAGTTTGGAGCATTGAAGGGGAATCTTTCCAGTTGTTGCTTTCCTTTGTATGTTTCTGGTTTATATCATCAAACTACAGTGTTACCTCGGGTTAAGTACTTAATTCGTTCCGGAGGTCCGTTCTTAACCTGAAACTGTTCTTAACCTGAAGCACCACTTTAGCTAATGGGGCCTCCTGCTGCTGCCGCTGCACCACTGCCGCATGATTTCTGTTCTCATCCTGAAGCAACGTTCTTAACCCGAGGAACTATTTCTGGGTTAACAGAGTCTGTAACCTAAAGCGTATGTAACCTGAAGCGTATGTAACCCGAGGTACCACTGTAAATAAATAAATATTCCAAAACACATAGTTCAACCAAAAATTGTAACCTTTTATGTAGTGCATAACAGATCCCCTCGATCCTGATTAGTCATTGATTTCTGCCTTAGAGCTATATTTTCCTATAAGATAATTATGGGGTGTGTGAGGAGAATAAGGATGCAGATAAAGTGGAGAATGAAAGAAAAATATACCTTATTAGAAGAATCAACACAGAGGAGAGGAAGGATAAGATAAAGAATGTGTCAGGTGGTGTGCATGTTACCTTTTTAAAAAAAATCTGCTTCCTTAAAGTAACACCGGTTGAAAGGTTTTTGCCATGGGAAGTAGAACCGCGGAACAAACGTTTAACTTTTTGTGTGTTTCCTTTGGAAAAGAACTGAGGCTCCGCCAGAAACCACACACAATAAAGATTTTGGAGCAGACATTTGACCCCATCCCAGGAGGTGAATCATACCCACTCCTTTAAGAAATGGTGGTTCAGTGACAGCCTTTTCTGCTGATGGAAATGCCTCATAGTTGGGATCAGAAAATAGAATATCAGAAGCAAACATCCTCACCTCCTACTTTTTATGGCCATGAAAAGCAGGTGTGGCTGAGCTGGAGGACCAATTTAAAACAGCCAAGTAATTTTTTCCTATCCATGTCCCTGCACCATAAGTCATATTTCTGCATATATTATTTTTAATGGGTTTATACCATGCCTTTTCCAAAACTATGCAGCGTGGCAAAACACAATATGTAATGTAAATGTGTGTGTGTGTGTTTATGTGTTATATTTATATACTGGGGTGCAGGATGATCCAAATATTTCTAATGAAATTGTTATTCAGATCCCAGCTCCTGAATTATTATATTTATTGCTCCGCTCAGTCTCAATGCTGGTGCCAGGTTTTGGGAGACCTTTCAGTAGGCTGCTCTTCCCACTTCTCCTGCAGAAATGTTGTACAGCTCTGTAAGTGTAAGAAGTTTCTAATTTAATGGCTTGTAAATTGGCCTTTCATTGCAATTTCTCTGGAAACACAAGTCCAGGCAGTTAAAGGTCTTCATAAGCTTTATCAGCTGGCCAGCTAGCACCTCTTTATGTTTCTGAAGTCTGTGTCTAAAAAGTATCACTTTTCCTTTAGAGCAATTGATGGTGAGCTTTTGCTGTGAAGGCTAAAAACTAACTTATCTTGATTTTGATCACCGCCCAAATGGCACTGCAATGGCCCACTTGGCCTAGGCCATTTAAACTATTACTCCATTCTGCTCAAAGCACAAGCTCAGCAGGAGTGGAACACGCTGAATAGATTTGACTGATTGGTTTAGCACTTTAATTTTCAGTTGTTGGTGTAAAATTTTACAAGTGTAGATATAAAAGTAAATGACTTTAAAAACGTGTCACTTTTCTTGACATGGTAGACAAAAGCCTTCTCAGCTAAATAATCATTGTTTTAAAGGAAACCATTATTGACTGTGGGCAGATTATCACAACAATAAATTGAACTGTGCCACTTAACTCAGCAGCTCCAAATCATTGTTGAGAAGCACTTCTTTATATATCTGAAGGCTTTATTAACATCGAGCTGGTTGATCAGTTGCACAATATTAGGAGCCTTAAATGATGGTTGTTTATAGACATTTATACTAGCTGCCAGCAGAATGGACTATTTAAAAAAAATTTAATAAGGGTGGAGAGGATAGAACTGGAGGTATACAATTCATAGAAAATTAATTTGAGCCTAGAAGCTAACAAGAAGCTAACTTTAACAAGAACAGCTGGCACAACTAGTCCAGTAGACTTATCACCAGGTACTTTCTAAAATGCAAGGACATAATTTTTTGTTGTTTAGTCATTTAGTGGTGTCCGACTCTTCGTGACCCCATGGACCAGAGCACGCCAGGCACTCCTGTCTTCCATTGCCTCCTGCAGTTTGGTCAAACTCATGCTGGTAGCTTCGAGAACACTGTCCAACCATCTCATCCTCTGCCATCCCCTTCTCCTTGTGCCCTCCAGTCTTTCCCAACATCAGGGTCTTTTCCAGGGTGTCTTCTCATGAGATATCCAAAGTATTGGAGCCTCAACTTCACGATCTGTCCTTCCAGTGAGCACTCAGGGCTGATTTCCTTAAGAATGGATAGGTTTGATCTTCTTGCAGTCCATGGGACTCTCAGGAGTCTCCTCCAGCACCATAATTCAAAAGCATAGGACAGAAATACCTTGATTCAATTATTTATTCATAAGACTTTCCCCTCCCAATAATGTGTTTATGCGTACTTACATTTCTATCATACCTTTTTTTCATCATGGAATACAAAGCAGTGTATTCATGGTTTCCAGGCAAATACCTTCCATATGGGCAGAACCATCAATTCTATAATAATAGTACGTGCTGGGGGCTTTCTAATGTACAAGCAGCATTAGTTTGTTTTCCTGTCATTACTGCATAATCATCATGCCTGATAGCAGAAGTGTCCAAAGAGAATAGTGTTTGCTGAGCATCGTGGAGCTCTCACTGAAAACATATAATTAGCAACCTGTGTGCATAATTTGATCTTTCAGAAATTACTTTTTTTGCTGTTTGGCTCCTCCATCTTTCTTTTCTTTCCTCCTTTTGCTTTCAGCTATTTATGCTCTTTTCCCTAAATTATTTTGTTGTATTTTAAAGCCGGTGATGAGCATGCCAGAGGACATTTTCTTCACCTTTACCTTGATGATGGCAGACCAACAGCTCAGCTTGGCTGTAGCGCTTCACAGGGACATTCTGACGGCAACTGTCAATCACTCCATTAGCAGAGATGCCCTTGTGCCGATCACAGTCAGGTATGGATTTCCTATGCTTTGTTGAAGTGAGACTTGCACAGTATAACTGTGTTTATTTGTTGCTGAGAAACCCAGAAACATTAAATATAAAGGCCAAGCATGCTTCTAAATAGAAAAAAAACACACACTTCTCTGGGTTGGGATCATAAGGATCAGTGGTAGACATGTTACTTTGAATGCAATAGTTTCCTGGTTCCACCCCTAGGCTCTCAAGTTAAAGGAATGAGTAGCAGATAATGTGAAAGCCTCCTTGCCTCAAACTCTAGAGTAGAGGGAGGGAACCAGCAGCCTTCTAGATGTCATTCAATTCCAGTTCAACTCCAACTAGCACTGCAGATGTTGTTGGACTCCAACTCCCATAAGCCCCAGCCACCTTTGCCAATGATCAAGGATTATGGGAGTTGTGGTCTGACATCCTATGGAAGGCCACAGGTTCCCCATCGGTCAGAACAGACAATACAGGGATAAATGGGCATGTGGTTTGACCTGGTAAAAAGTAGCTTCCTTTGACAGGTATCACAGTCAGGGTGATGGCGTAGGGGTACACATGGACAAGCTGTCTCCAAATTTGGGAATGTTATTCTGTGGTTATATTATAATTTCCTTGCCAAAATGTGCCCAGGCAGATAATGTAACTTGAAAGTCATGAAAATGAACAGCTTTGAAGTAGAGACTAGACAGCCTTCAAAGTAGACCACAATGAGGAGAAACTCTCTTTCCTCAGCACTCTCTTTTCACCTTAGAAATCATACCCTGCAAGCCGCTATTACTTTGGGATGCATGGCTACAGGTTTTTCAAAAGATGCATTTAAAAATCAGCTTCTTTTACTATTTTATTGTGTATTAGGCTAATTGGTCCACAGGCTCCCAGTACAGCTTTCTCAACCACCTCTTAAATCTGTAGGAAAGCTTATATCTGGCGCTGTGTTGCTTTGTGTGAATATTATGGTGGTGTCCCAGATAGCTGTATTGGAGCAGATGTTTGGAGTGCTAGACTTTGATTAATCTCTCAAACTGAACTGCACTGGGCAGGTACAAAATTCGTCTCAATCACACACACACACACACACACACACCTGACACCAGATAATACGTTTAGCTAGGCAATGTTGAAATTGCATGGTCTCCATGATTGTTGGGGTTGTGTCAGTCACTCTGCTCCATTGCAACCAATAGTCTCTAATGAGCAGGGCACTTGATGTGAGTGTCTGTTAGCAGGAAGATACAGTTCTCTTGATTCTTCCGGGTTTGTTTGATGGAGAAAATCAGGCTCTGGGAATCAGGCACCCACACCTGACCAGTAGAGTCTATCTGCACAGCAAACTGTAGAGCTTTGCACTGCTACTCTACCGCCATATTTCATCCCCATTAAGTGCATGAACCAGAGTAAACAAAGGACATAGTGTGCAACTGAGAACATTATAAGGCCTTCAGTGCATTAGCTGAGCTAGTAAGTGTTTCCCACACTCCCGTCAGCATGGTTTGTTAGAGGAATTTGGTTGTGCTCTGTTCTAAGGGCTGAGTTTGTGTGGGACCAGCCAAAAAGTTTTAAGGATCAAAGTGTGGGTAAGATCTGCCCTTTCATTTTTAGATTACGATGAGAACATTCCAAGCAGGAGGACCAAATACACTCAGAATGTGTTTTTTGAGCCCTGTTTTGTCAAGTATCACTTCTTCCCAAGGTGTCACAGTGCTGAAGTCTATTTGGGAGTATTGTTGCCTTCCGGTTAAGACCATTTTTAAAGTATGAAGGCCAGAAATAACTGAAACATAGTCCCAGGCAGGATTCCATAACATCTGGACTATCATAATAATAATATAATAATTTATTATTTATACCCCGTCCATCTGGCTAGGTTTCCCCAGCCACTCTATATTAAAAACACAATACAGCATTAAACATTAAAAACTTCCCTCAACAGGGCTGCCTTCAGATGTCTTTTAAAAGTAGGATAGTTGCTTATTTCCTTGACATCTGATGGGAGGGCGTTCCACAGGGCATGTGCCACTATCGAGAAGGCCCTCTGCCTGGTTCCCTGTGACCTCACTTCTCACAGTGAGGGAACCGCCAGAAGGCCCTCGGCGCTGGATCTCAGTTTCCGGGCTGGACGATGGGGGTGGAGACGCTCCTTCAGGTATACAGGACCGAATTCTTAGTTTCCCATTGTGAAAGGGAAAGAAAATAGTCCATGGTTCTCCAAAATGTGTACGTGGCCATTTAACAGCATTTTAATCTGTTGTGCCAACAGCAAATATTTCCTACAACAAAAGCCAAAGAGTACCAGTGTATCCATGCCAAACATAATAGCAGCATATAGATTGTTGAGCTCCTCTCATTTTGCCAGTAAACCTAAATTGAATAAAAGCAAAGAATGGGTGCTTTAAACAAACTCAAAGAATACATAGAGGTGTCTATACTTATTTTTTCATTTTTGTCTTGGTTTCTTACTTTAAATTCAGTACATAATTCACGGATACTTCCCCCTGGTTATGTTGCCTCTTCAAACACTTGGCTTGGATTAAGTATAAGAACAGTCTTCCACCTCCTTTAAGATGATCTATCAAAGATAAGAAAGCAATTGCTGCAACTATTCAAGCTCATTAAACAAGTACTTGAGGAGCAGATGTCTTCATTACAATACCCTTCATGCTCTGGAAAAGGATTGGTCTTCTCACGCTAACTGTCCTCCTAAAGGAGCCTTAGCAAATGCTTATCCAGCGTTTCAAAAAATATCCCTTTAACAGAGGCGCAGTGTGGTGGGGGGCTGAAGGGGTTGTTGTCCCTGGTGCATTTTAGAAGTGTACTATCACAAATATTAATGTGTCTGTGCGAACCTTTCACCTTGGCACATTGTGTGTCAAGATTGTGGTTTTGCATCTTCAGTAAAAATGTATTTTTATTTTTTGTTTTTAAATGAATTTTCAAAGTGTGCTTGGTCTTGCTTGGGATGGGAGGAGGGACAGACAGTCCCTGCAGAAGCATCTGGTGGTTCTTCATGCAGAGCTGCAAGGAGATCTTCAGATGTATCTTCTTCATCTCACATTTCCAGGTCACAAAAATGACTAAGATTGGAAACCAGCCCACAGATGCAGCCATGTACTACACATGCAATCCTGTAGCATGGATGTATTCCAGGCTACTGTGGCAAATGTTCTCCATGGTGCAGCCTGAGGATCGTATCTACAGAGATACAGCTCGACATCCTCGTGTACACATTTGTGATTGAAGTTGCCAACCTTTGACTCAGGGATAGAGCAATGGGTGCTATCTGCTTCAGGGTAGCAAAACCCCTCAATGCAATTAAGACTGACTTGGCTAGTCAGTGGTCCATTCCTTTGACTGCCATTCCCTGCCTTCTGTAGCAAACATTACTGCAGTTTTTTTGTTTTTAGAAGTAGATCACTATAGTACTAGAATGGGAGTCAGTATTTCACCTTTCCAAGGTTTTGCTTTTTCAAATCTGTTAATGCAAGAGACACTATGTATCTGGGACAAGAGTTAATAACCCTACTTGTGATGTACTGTTTGACATTTCTGCTTCTGTAAGGAGGCCTAGAGCAGGGGTAGCCAATGTGTGGTCCACTCTAAATGCTGGACTGCAGTTCCCATCAACCCCAGCTAGTGTGGCTATTGGTTGGGGTAATGGGAATTGTAGGGACGCAGGTGGCGCTGTGGGTTAAACCACAGAGTCTAGGACTTGCCAATCAGAAGGTTGGCGGTTCGAATCCCCGCGATGAGGTGAGCTCCTGTTGCTCAGTCCCTGCTCCTGCCAACCTAGCAGTTCAAAAGCACGTCAAAGTGCAAGTAGATAAATAGGTGCCGCTCCGACGGGAAGGTAAACGGTGTTTCCGTGCGCTGCTCTGGTTCGCCAGAAGTGGCTTAGTCATGCTGGCCACATGACCCGGAAGCTGTACGCCGGGTCCCACGGCCAATAAAGCGAGATGAGCGCCGCAACCCCAGAGTCGGCCACGACTGGACCTAATGGTCAGGGGTCCCTTTACCTTGACCTTTAATGGGAATTGTAGTCCAACAAATGGAGGGCACCATATTGGTTACTGCCCCCCAACATAGAGGTAGAACCAGGGACACTCCAACACATTTTGTTGGCAGAATCATAGAATCATAGAGTTGGAATAGACCACAAGGGCCATCGAGCCCAACCCCCTGCCAAGCAGGAAACACCATCAGAGCACTCCTGACATATGGTTGTCAAGGCTCTGCTTAAAGACCTCCAAAGAAGGAGACTCCACCACACTCCTTGGCAGCAAATTCCACTGTCGAACAGCTCTTACTGTCAGGAAGTTCTTCCTAATGTTTAGGTGGAATCTTCTTTCTTGTAGTTTGGATCCATTGGTCCGTGTCCGCTTCTCTGGAGCAGCAGAAAACAACCTTTCTCCCTCCTCTATATGACATCCTTTTATATATTTGAACATGGCTATGATATCACCCCTTAACCTCCTCTTCTCCAGGCTAAACATGCCCAGCTCCCTTAGCTGTTCCTCATAAGAAAACCTATGTGGCATCCCTCTTGGTGCTAAAACTGCACTTATAAACACAAGAAAGTTCTCAGGCAGGCTAGTGTACTCTACCTAATAACATAAAACAAAAATTATATTCATGAGAAATAATGGCTTGAAGACCTAAAATAAAACCATGTTGCCTACAATTAATTTTTGTGCAGCCTGTAGACCCATGTTATTTAACTGTGCATTTACTTACTGGTTGCTGCAGATATCTGCAGTACAGTAAAAACTGAATGCAGTTTTTTATTAAATTAATCTATATTATCATATTCTTTCAGTTTAAACATTTTCAGTAATGAGTAGCATTGGCTGGAGTGGTTTTGTTTTATAATCATGTGTACAGTCCTATAGCTAAGCAGCCACACACAAAGCAGGATACTGTGTGCAATAATTAAAATCTCAATTTAATTAACAGAACAGACAAGGAGGAAATGCTAGATTTTAATGCAGACAACAAACCAGAAAACCTTTTATTC